ACTGCTGAGGTGGGAACCCTCTACTCCCACCTCCCAAGAGATCCTCTCCTCCCTTAAGAGAGGAGAGTTCACCATCTACTGGCAAGTGATTGCAGCTCCTTCTACATCGCCCCATTCAGCAGTCCTAGCACCACCTGCCAATCTGTCTCCTGAACTCCTCCTGCTAGAAAACTACTCATGTGCTAAATCCCAGGGAAATGTTTGAAGCAGTGGCTAAGGGCAGGGATGTTAGAGCCAGACGGAACTAGTATCCTGCTAATTCCTAGCTGTGTGACCTTGGACATGTTACTTCATTGCTTTATGTCTCAGTTCTTTGCCTGTACAAAGATGGGGGGAATAACTGTACCTACTGCAAATGCATGCTGTGCTAGGGCTTGGAGCAGTGCCTGCTCATAGGACACTCCAGAGGACTACAAGCATTACTGTCTTTCAGAGGAGACTTCCCTGACTCCCCAGGGAAGGGGGAGAGCCTTTCACTAGCTCCAACTATATCTGGTACTGACCTGAGTTAATGTAGTAACTGTAATAGTTCTCTGACAACTGTGGACATCACTCTGTCCACTAGACTGTGAGCTCCTACAGGGCAGCAGGTTCTTATTGCCACTGTATGCTCCCCACATGTACAGGGCCAGGTACAAAAAAGATTCAATCAGTTCTGCTATAAAGCTGGTTTTGAAATGCAGATCTGTTCCCACCAATTGATATATTAGGGAACTGAGCATAATGTGAATTTCCTGTTTGCTTATGTGATTTCATCTGCGAGAAACTAGGTGAACGTGGAAAACTGCACCCAGATGAACAAAACTACATAGGAAAATGCAATGAGGACTTCCGGTCAAGATGGCAGCGTAGGTAAACGCAGTATCGGGTCCTCCCACGACCACATCCAAGTTACAACTAAACTAAAGAACAACCATCATTCAAAACCGCCTGAAATCAAGCTGAATGGAAGTCCTACAACTACGGAATTAAAGAAGCTGCATCGAGACTGGTAGGAAGGGCGGGGGTGGAGGGGCGAGGGGCGGTGGGACCAGCTGGTCCCACACCCATGTGTGGAGAATAAAAATCAGAAGGTTATCTGGGCTGGGAAGGTCCTTCCTGAGGACTGAGGGGTCCCCGTCCCACACCAGGTGCCCCGCTCAGGGTTCCAGTGCCAGGAAGAGAAGTCCCCATAACTTCTGGCTGGAAAAACCAGCAGGAACTGAGGCTCAGGGAAGCTGAAGCGGCTGGAGCCCCAGGCAGCTCCTTAAAGGGCCCGCGCACGGACTTATCGGACTTGCTCCCTCTAAGCTTACAGGGGAGGCAGCTCGAGGGGCACCAGAGACATACAGGGAAGAACTGAGCTGTTTGGCACTGGAGCGAGGGCTGGAGAGGGGGCTTTCTCTGGGACAAACGTGCTGTCAGAGGCCTTTGTTCCTTTGGTGAGCCCTTCCCTGGGGCAGCAGACAGCTGCCATACCTGGGACTCCAGCAACCTGGCTCACACTGGTAGCCCCGCCCTGGTGACTCCCTGAGGCCCCGCCCCTCCTCACCCAACTTTCAGGCCCACCCAACTTTCAGGCCCACCCAAGCTGTTGCCACTTGCTTAACCATAGGATTGGCCTGTCTTGGATCCTGCTTCAGGTTTTTCCTAAATTCTTTCAAACAAGCAGCATCTGGTCTCAGATAGCCCCATACCGCTCATTAATACACAGAAACAAACACAGGGAGGCAGCCAAAATGAGGAGACAAAGAAACAGGTCCCAAATAAAAGAACAGAACAAAACCCCAAGAAAAGAACTAAGCGAAATGGAGATAAGCAACCTAACAAATGCTGAGTTCAAAATACTGCTTATAAGGATGCTCAGTGAACTCAGTGAGGGCCTCAAGAGCATATAAAAGGACCAGTCAGAAATGATCGATGCACAGTTAGAAACGAAGGAGGCTTTAACTGAAATAAAAAATAACTTACACAGATTCAATAGTAGAGTACGTAAATCCAAGGAGCAAACCATCGATTTGGAATATAAGGAAGCAAAAAAATGCCCAATCAGAACAGCAAAAAGAAAAAGGAATCCAAAAAAAAATGGCGATAGTGTAAGGAGCCTCTGGGACAACTTCAAGCGTGCCAACATTCGCATCTTGGGGGTGCCAGAAGGAGAAGAGCGAGAACAAGAAATCGAAAACCTGTTTGAAACAATAATGACAGAAAACTTTCCTAACTTGGTGAAGGAAACAGACATACAAGTCCGGGAAGCAGAGACAGTCCCAAACAAGATGAACCCCAAGAGGCCCACACCAAGACACATCATCATCAAAATGCACAAGGTTAAAGATAAAGAGAGAATCTTAAAAGCAGCAAGAGAAAGGCAGCTAGTTACCTACAAGGGAGTTCACATAAGGCTGTCAGCTGATTTCTCAAAAGAAACTTTGCAGGCCAGAAGGGAGTGGCAAGAAATATTCAGAGTGATGAAAAGCAAGAATCTACAACTAAGATTACTCTATCCTGCAAAGCTGTCATTTAGAATCGATGGCCATATAAAGACTCTCCCAGACAAGAAAAAGTTAAAGGAGTTCATCACCACCAAACCGTTATTATATAAAATAATGAAAGGTCTTTTTGAAGAAAAAGATAAAATATATGAATAAACAAAATGGCAGTAAATACATATCTATCAACAATGGAATCTACAAACAAAATGAACAGGTAGAACAGAAACATTCTCATAGATACAGAGAACATTTTGTTGGTTGCCAGATGGGAGGGGGATTGGGGGAATGGGTGAAAAAGGTGAAGGGATTAAGAAGTACAAATTCATTGCTAGACTGACAAACCTCAAAGGGAAAGGGGTTGGGGGGGGGGGGGAAATAAACCAAAGAACTTATATGCATAACCAATGGACACAGACAATAGTGTAGGAAAAGGCGGAAGGGGGGCGGGAGTGGGGAGGAGGGGGTCAATGGGAGAAAAATGTGGAACATCTGTAATACATTCTACATTCAACAATAAAGATTTTTTTAAAAATGCAATGAGCACACATGCACACACAAATATTTGTCAGCTGCCTCAGTTCACGGCTTGTTCCAAGAGTCACACCCAGCCACACCTGGTGTTACAGCATCCCCACCTGATTTCAGATGAGTCCCTCCTTCCTCTTCATAATCACACTTCCACAGGGAAAACTCCAGGTCTTTTTCAAAGTCATTGTTATTGGAGCATCTATGTACTTTCTAATCATTTAGCATGTGCTACCATTTTTGTTAGGTTCTTATTCTTTTAAAATATGCCACTGATGAAGTTTTAAATGTTGTGACCCCCTCTCACTTTTCTGGTAAGCCCTGTGTTTTTTATTGCATTCTCTTGCATAGTGTGGTGGTTTTTAGGATATGTTTCATTATATCAGAAAGATTCATACTCGGTGGACTTGTGGTTGATGGCGGCGAATTCTTTCTTTCTCATCTCCATGGATACCTATGGCTCCTGAAACTATAGGATCCCCTGTTAGTCAGCAAACACTGTTTAGGCCAGCACTTCTGCCCCACAATTAAAAGCAGTAAAGATTTATTCATAGACAACTATGAATAAATGCCAGGACCGTGATGAGCAGAGGAGGTACTGGGGCTAATAAGAAGCACCGCCTTTCTTTTAGTCTAGTGGGAAAAGAAAGACAATTACAACAGAGGGGATGCTATTAAAGAATAAAGCAAGGTTTTCTCTGCAGCAAAAACCTCCCAGATCAAGTGTTCCTCTTTCCCAGATCTTTCCACTCTCCTAAGTCAGTTTCTTTCCATGTTGCCCCACCTCTGTCTGCTCACTCTACTTCCGAGCAGAGAGAACAGGAAAGAGTTCATGTGGCACAGGTGGGAGGGGTAAGGGCCCTGAGGGAAGCAGGTGCAACAGCCACATCAAGGGTCCCACAGGCACTGGTCAAGGCAAAGAGAAGTTGCCAACACACTGTGCTCAAGGTCTTTCCCCAATCAAGTCTTCAGCTAGTATTTTCTTCCTCTGTTTATTCATTCAACAGTTCTAAGCCTCTGCCATGGACTAGACTCTGGAGGAATGGGTCCTGCTTACTCTGACTCCTCCGGCACCAGAGATGCTCCCTCCTCGTGTGGCTGCTACTCTGTTGAAGGCCATCTCCTCCCGCTGTCACCACCCTGTCTGGCACACCAGGGATGAGACTGCAGTGGAGAGACTCCCTTCTGGATTATAAGGAAGAAAAAGAGAAGTTCCTTTTTTGCTACCATCCCTCCCCCTCTCCACTGCTTCCCAGGCCCGACTTCAACTCTCCAGCTGCTGTTCCAGTTCACTATTTCAGCATCAAGTAAAGAAAATGTAAGCATCCCACATCCCCAGAACCTGCTGGTTTTCTCTGATCACACCAGGCTTCCAGCTGCACTCCAGTTTCCATCGACTCCTCTTCCTGTTTCTCCCTCTCTCTCTATTCTCCCCCTTTCTTCTCGGAGGGTTAGTGCCCACAATGTTAAATCTTATCAACACTTAAGCCACCCCATTGTAGAGATGAGAAAGCTGAGGCCCAGAAGTTGTTCCTAGGGATGCACAGTCAGAGACAGGACCAGCCTGAGGCCTGATCCCCACCCAGAACTGGTTTTCTCCCCATCGTCAGAGACCGAAACTGACTCTATTTGGATCCTGAGGAAGAGAAACATTTATCTCAACTCTACTCCCAGCTGACCTCCAGCTGAAGGGCTCTGATTCTACCAGCCACTACAGCAGTGACCAGCCCCTCTTTCCTCACTACCATTGTCCCACTTCTCCCCCTACACTCATGAGCTTTCAAGTGCAAAGGATTCTCCCATCCTAGCTAGGGTTATGATCTTAATTATCCATTCAAAACCCCAACTAAAGATTATAACCGTGTGATCCTCCCAGCCCGGCACTACCGTTCACATACTCTATGGTTAGGTCTGCGCCACTGTGACACCCCAAAAACCCCTCCCTTTGCCCTTCCCCTCTCAGGAGTCTTGCTGCCACGAGCCCTAAACCTTTGCCCCACACAGATGGCAGAAGTTCCACAGCTTAACTCCACCTTTCCATACCCAGCATTCTTCCTACTGAGTGGCACTCCAGGGCGACAGGGTGCCCAGGCCTGGCTGGCACTGGTCTTTGGGCCCCTATGTCTGCTGGCCCTGCTGGGCAATGGAACAATGCTGGCAGTGCTGCAGGTAGATTCCACACTGCACCAGCCCACATTTCCACTCCTGGCCACACTGGCAGCCACAGACCTGGGCTTAGCCATATCAATAGCCCCAGGGTTGCTGGCTGTGCTGTGGCTCGTGCCCCGCCCTGTACCATATGCTGCCTGCCTGGTCCAGATGTTCTTTGTTCATGCACTGATCGCCATGGCATCTGGCATACTGCTGGCCGTAGGGTGTCCATTACACACCCTATCCTGGTCACCAAAGCTCGTATGGAGTACACAGCCCTGGCACTGATACTGAAAGCTGTGGCTATTGTTGTGCCTTTCCCTCTCCTGGTGGCACAATCTGAACACTTCTGAACAAGACCATAGACCATGCCTACTGTGCACACATGGCGGTGGAGCTGGTGCTGAGTACCCGCAGGCCAACAACTTGTATGGGCTAGCGCTCTCACTGGCCATGTCGGGTGTAGATATTCTGGGCATCACTGGCTCTTGTGGGTTCACTGTCCACACTGTGCTGAGGCTGCCTGCCAAGGAGTCCCGTGCCAAGGCCTTTGGTACGTGTTGTTCCCACATCTGTGTCATGCTGCCTTTCTACATATGCCTGGTCTCTTCTCCTCCTTCACACACCACTTTGGTCATCACACTGTCCCAAAGCACATTCTTCTCTCTAACATCTATTTGCTGCTGCCACCTGCCCTCAACCCTCTCATCTATGGGGCCTGCACCAAGCAGATCAGGGACTGGCTCCTAGAAACATTCACATTCAGGAAAGAACAGTTCTAATGGACAGTAAAAACAATGGGACCTGGAGATGGAGCTGGGGGACATTCAGAGAATCTGGAGTCTGGTCCCATATCTGCCTATGGCTGTCATAATCACTCAACAGATATTTGCTGTGAAGCCCCTACTGTGTACCACTGGAATGTGCAGTTTGGCCTAGCCACATATCCTGCTTGGGGGGAGGGGGCAGGCAGGGGGCTACATGTTACCATGCAGGGAAAACAAGACCAGGGATTATCATGCGATCATAGTACATAAGATTTAACATAAATAAAACTTACCTCCTTGCCTCTCCCCATCATTTTAACTTAAGTCTATCCATGTTCTCTCACAAAAGCTCCTCTACAGATCCTGAATCTAGGGGTCTGGGAAGAGGGACAGTGCCGCTGGAGACTAGTACTTGTCTGGGATCACAGCCTTTTCTATTCCTGGAGTCAGATTCTGTTTCAGCCAGTCTGTAGGGAAGGAGTCATACAGGCTTATCCCCCACCCTCTGAGAATCTAGAGAATGTGTGCTGGGGTTCCAGTTTCACCAGTTCAGAGAATCCTCTTGGTCTCATGTGTAATCACTATCTCCCCTGCCCCCCACTCCACTGCCAGAGTCTTAAGAGTTAATGCCTGGAAGTTCTCTCCCTGGGCTTGCAGCTTCGTAGGTCAGGAGTCCAAATGAAATAAATCTGATATCCCAGAAAATCATTGCAACCATGCCACCTGCTTGCCTGAGGTCCAGAATTACTATGGTTTCTTACCAATCTGCCCCTTTGCATATCCTCCGCCAAGAACAGAATTCCCATATAAAAGCCTCATCAACAACCCCATTTGTCCTGGCCAACATCATCAGAAGCACATGTTGGTACAATATGATAAAAGAGGCATATTTCACATAGCGGTGCCTGCCAGAGAACAGAGATACTAACAGGATGTGCCACAGTGTTGCCCAACAGAGGATTCATTTTCCACTCCACACTCAGAGGGAAATTGCACAAAAGATCTTTCACAACAGCACGGAGCCCAGAATGAGTGTAATCTTAGACACAGGCAGGGAGGGAGTCACTATTATGAAGTGACAGAAAGCCAATAGGCTACACAAGCAGACCCAAGCACTCTGGGAAAATTATCATAACCACAAGTACTGGAATTAGCCATGAAGACCTGAATCCAGGTGCAACATTGGCCACTCAGCAGATAGCTGGACCACACACCATGGCCTACCATGGGGCCACAGAGCTGAAACAGCAGGTGGATGGCATCTACAGGGCCACATGGGGTCTCACCAGGTCCTGAAGTGAAAGCCCCGAAGCTATGATTTTCAGAGGTGTTGTCACACTGCAATCAAGTGGAAGAGGAAGAAATCAACACTTTTCCTCAACCCAAGTGTAAGCTCAGTCATTCTCATGAGGTTCTGAGTTAGCCTTCCAGCCAGTAATTTTGTAGATAATTGTGACAAAACGTTCATCTTAATGAACCACAGGTCTTTAAGATGTCCATATCCTTCTCTTAGAGGTTTCTCTTCAATAAATCTATCCTGCCCTGGCCGGTTTGGCTCAGCGGTTAGAACGTCGGCCTGCGGTCCCAATAGACCCGGGTTCGGTTCCTGCTAAGGGCGCGTACCTTGGTTGCAGTTTGTCCCCGGCCCTGGTTGGTCGTGCGGGTGGCAACCACTCAATGTGTCCCTTTCACGTCGATGTTTCTCTCTCTCTCTCTCCCCTCCCCTCTACCTGAACAAAAAATGGAAAAACGTCCTCGGATGAGGATGATAAAAAATAAATAAATAAATAAATAAATAAATAAATAAATAAATAAATAAATAAATCGATCCTAGCCCTAGCCGGTTTGGCTCAGTGGTTAGAGCGTTGGCCCACAGACCAGAGTCCCAGGTTCAGTTCCCGCTAAGGGCACCCCCTGGTTGTGCACAACTTCCCAAGGCAACTGATTCCAAGCTGTGTTGTTCATTGTAAGAGCTTTCTTCCTCACAAGCTAAACATCTACCCCCTTGGACATTTGTATTTTGTTTTGGATGGAGAGTGCATGCATACCTATCAAGTGATGTGTTTAGAAGGCTTTACCAACACTCTCTTATTCCTTACAACCTGAGAATAACCCCTTATCTACAATTCCAAAATTTAAAAATCCCTAAACCAAGTTTTTTCACAACTTTGGTCCAGAACATCACCTGAACCGTCACAATTGTACTTATATTTACCTTAGTGTGACTATTCATATATTTAGCTGCAGAAATACTGCTGTGTTTGATTGTTGGGCACTGCCCTAAATCTCACTGGGGTAAGTTTCTGTACCTCTGCATCTGTCTCCTCCTTGCACTGTCAGTCAGCTCTGCCTCATGCCTGTGTCTCTTATATGAGGATACTATATTCCCTTTCTAAAATCTAAAAAATTCTGAATTGCAAAACACATCTATCCCTAAAGTTTCCAAATAAGAAATGGATTAGAAACTTATACAATTATCCCTGTAGCCTGAAAGAAGTGAAAAGATGTGGTAGGGTTCCTTATCCCTCTAAAGTCTTTGCTATTCACACAATTCTATCCTGCCCTAGAGGTTGCTTGCAGTGAAACTCAAGTTCTCTGGATAATCAGTCTCCACTAGATAATTGCCCTCATGCTCTCCACTCTGGTAGACCCACAGGCAGCAGATGATCTGTATTTTTCCCCAGGGAAGCCCCAGAAGGTGCCACACTGGAGGCAAACCCCATGAGCAGAATAGGGTCACACAGCCCAGGCTTTGGGCTCATCAACTCCATCCAGAACTCAGTTGTCATCTGTTTTCCTTCAGCAACTTTCAGTCTCAGACTGTATGAGCCAAAAGGAAAGACTCTTTATTTATTTCCAATTATAAGAGAAAGTTTATTTAGAAAGTCACAGAGGTGCCCAGCTGGTGTTGCTCAGTGGTTGAGTGTTGACCCATGCACCAAGAGGTCATTGGTTTGATTTCTGGTCAGGGCACATGCCCAGGTTGTGGGCCAAATCCCCAGTGGGGGGCATGTAGGAGGCGGCCAATTGATGTTCTCTCTCATCAGTGTTTCTATCTCTCTCTCCCTCTCTCTGAAATCAATAAAGAAAAAAAAAAGAAAGAAAATCACAGATGTAAAAAGGTGAGCCAGCTGGGCTGTGTGGGCTCAGGAAGTAAGTTGCAGAGGCAAAAAAAAAAGGGGGGCACTTGGAGCTTAGGAAAGAGAAAGGCAAAGGTAATGCACCTGGCAGAGAGAAAGGGCGGGGAGGGAAAGCGTGGACATCTCCACAGAAGCGGAGAGTGCCAAGACAGACTTATTTAATGTCACAATAGGACAGTATGAAGTTTAGGAAGCCTAGAGAATCATGGTAATCAGACAGCAAGACAAGAGAGAGATATGGGCTTCTGAGTACAGAATTCATCAGTACCCAATTTCCCTTCAGCTCCCTCTATGAACAAAAATCCAAGAGATCCTCAATCGTTTTACCAACCCTGCACCTACCTCCCCAGGCCCGCCCTTCTTATTCCGAAATCTCCTCAAGATATGGATGTGCACCATTCTCTGCCCCTGCTCATCAATAACTCTCATCATCTCTGTCCCTCTGCATCTTTGTCTTCCAGTGTCAGTTTTGCCATGTCTGTGTCTCTGTGTCTCTTATCCTTGTGCACCTCTCTCCCTCTACTTCTGTGTTCCTCACTCAGAATTCCTTTCTGCAGGGAACAGAGGTACTAACCATATTACATCAGATGACCTCTCCTTGTCAAACATAGTTTTTAAAATTGTGCTAATGGGACATTAGGAGAAAGAGACTTGGTTTCACTTGTCTCAACAGGAAACATGGGGTTTCTGATTTGATCTATTGCAACTCTTCCCTCATCCTGCCCATTTCCTCTTCACTCTACCACTCTGCACTTCCATCTAGCATGCACCCCTCCCATCACACACTGAGGCGAGCAGAAGGAACATGTTGGTTTCTCCCTTCACCAAAAGGAACTACTTACTAGTTGATGGTAAAAGCTGGAATCAGGCAGACTTGCACTAATTTATCTAACCACTCTGAGCCTGTTCATTCATTTGTAAACCTCAACATAACGAACTAATTCAGGTGGGGGGGTGTCCATTAAAGCTGAAAGTCCGTAAAATAATAAAGCAGGTTTTCCGAATGTGTACGTTAAGAAATTGACAAATTAGTTTATCTGTTTTTACTTGTGTAGACACATTTGTGTAATTAAAATTAAGTATGTATGAAAAGTTTAATTTCACAGAAAAGTTTTCTATATGTATTACAGTAATTTTAAATTTATACTGAATAGGTCTAGTAAATGCGTGCATTCACCAGTCACTGCAAGTAAACAAATGCAAATGGCTGGGAGTGGCTCAGCGCAGGTGGCAGGCACCAGTTGAAACTGCTGCAGGAGACAAGAGACAACAGAATCAATCACTGTGCGCAATGCAGAACATTGTTTACAAATGGTGACTCTTCGATTTAAATATGTAGACTATAGTTGTAGATATGTGATATTTATGTTGGTGAAATTTTTTCAAACATGGATTCGCTAAAATTGTTAAAAATAACAGTGAATAAATAACAAAAAAAAACTGTTACTTTAATTATAAGCAAATCTTGGTTAAAAGCATTTTTAAATTAACAGTGTTAATTTTCACATATAACATACAGACCAGAAATTTTGTCTGCAAATTCTGAAGTCTGTTAAATTGATGTCTTTAAAATTGAGGGTTGCCCTGGCTGGTTTGGCTCAGCGGTTAGAGTGTCGGCCTGCAGTCTAGAGAGACCCAGGTTCAGTTCCCGCTAAGGGCACGTACCTAGGTTGCAGTTTGTCCCCGGCCCTGGTTGGGTCATGCGGGTGGCAGCCACTCGATGTGTCCCTTTCACATCGATGTTTCTCTCTCTCTCTTCCTCTCTCTCCCTCCCGCTCTATCTGAACAAAAAATGAAAAAATGTCCTCAAATGAGGATTAAAAAAAAAAAAAAATCGAGGGTTTACTGTAATAAACCTACTTTAAGAGGTTACTAAAAGGATTAATTACGATAATGCACTCAAAGTATTTGGCACAGCCCCTAACACATAAGAGTTAACAAATATTCTACATTAATTCCTCCCCTGGAGCATGGCTCACTGTCAAACCTCTGTTCAAATACCTGGCACCCACACCCTTAGCTCTGTCTAGGGAAACTTTTCTTGGCAACACTCTCTCCTGCTGTTGTAGAACCCTCTCCTGTGCCCCATACCCATACTACCTCGGCCAGCTCGGACAATGGCTGACTTTGTGGGACAGCTCCACATGCTGAGCCAGGACAGGGAAGACCCCATACATGAGGCTTTTCCTGAGCACACAGGAGACTCTGAAAAGGGACTCAAGAGAGCTCTTTGGATAGATGAGGAGCAGAGCTAGGGAGTAGCTACCAGAAAGACTGTCTAGAGTGGTTCTTCTTGGGAAATACCACTCTTCTTTTCCAGCAAAAGAGCAGCTTGAGATCTCTAGACTGAGACACAAGGGGAAATCACACATAGACCAGGGCTGTAATAGAAGAGGAAGAGTACCTAGTAGACACAGATTAGGCTAGGGAGCAGAGCACTAAGAAAATTTTCTACAATTTTATCTGGGTAATTCTGGCTTCCTTAAAGTTCTCTCCAGTTACTAAGGCAACAATTAGAGTCTTATCCTCTACATTGTCAGTGTTTAGCATGGCACTCTCCTACACACACACCTGGTTTTCATTGCAATTGTAACCGACTCATTAATAATGGGTTTCAACCCAGGCTGCACATTAAAATTGCCTGAGGAGCTTTTGGAAATCCTCATGCCCAAGCACATCCCAGACCAATTAAATCAGAATTTCTGAGGGTAGGATCCAGGCATCAGTAGATTTTTTTTAACTCTTTTATTGATTTATGTTTTTAGAGCGAGAGGGAGAGGAGAAGAGAAACATCAATATGAAAGAGCAAAACATCAGTTGGCTGCTTCCCACATGTTCCTCTCACCCCCACTGGGGATCAAGCCAGAAACCCAGGCATACACCCCACCCAAGAATCAAATCAACAACCCTTCAGTGCACAAGATGATGCCCAACCAACCAACCTACACTGGCCAGGGCCACGCATTAGTAATTTTTAAAGCTCTCGGGTAATCCCAAAGTATGACCATGATTGAGAACCACTACTTGAGTTTAAGTCCTGCTCTATTCTTCTCCCATGTGCTTCAGGATCCCAATGCAACCTCACAAAGAAGTCATCTGCAGGTGACAAGACAGCATATCAAATTGTTTCAAGGAGGCTATTGAAAGAAGAGAACTGATCCCATTTCCTTAAGCACACACACACACACACAACATATATAGATACCCTAATGGTACCTGCATTTTCCTCCCCTAAAGCAGAACAGAGAGGTGACTCAAGAGAATGGACTCAGGCTGTGAGAATAGTGAGGCCAGGAAAGTGACTGCCCTCTCCCCACCCAAGGCCTCATCACCCAGTACGACCTCTATGACCTCATGCTGTAGTAGGGCAGAGCTTAAGGTGAGCCTCACCTCTCTGGGCAGCTTGGGGTTCCTGCAGCAGCCACTGCCCTGCCTAACCCCTCCCACAATGTTGGTTGGTTCCCCCCACATGCTAACACTGGATGAAGCTGATGCCACATGGACCCTCATCAAAGATAAGGTAGGTAAAGTAAGAGGGCTAAAGAGGAAGCAACAAAGTGTAACCTAGATGGGTCTGAGTAGCTTATGAGCAGGGAAGGCTGAAAGTAATAATAAATAACATTTATTCAGTGCTAGTTTATGGGCAGCCACTGCATAAAGTGCTTTGCACAAACTGTCTAATTGAGCAACAATTGCGAAAGCAGTAAGAAAGGTCCTTGAATGTTTCGAGAGCTATCAGAACAGAAAGAAGAAATGCTAACTCAGGGGCAGGACATCAGAGGTCACTCCTGAAAAGAGTGATATTCTAGCTGGGCAAGTAGGCATTATTCACACATAGAGGGAAGAGGAATACCTGGCACATAAACAGTGCTTAATGAACACCTGAGTGAGTTTACGAGCGGTGGGTGGGTGAGTGAACAGTGTACTAATTAAAGGCAGAGCATATGCAAAGGCAGGAGAGGAAAAAGAAAAATGAAGATTTATGAACTATGATAGTCCTCCAGAGCAGTGTTCAAATGATTAGTGGTAAAAATAAAGTCAAAGAGGTATAGGGGCTAATCATGAAAGGCCTTTTAATCTTTCTAAAGAACCTGAACTTTAACTTTGACCTCTTCATGGATATTCCATCCACAGAATAAAAAGTTTGGGTTTTGAGCCAAATATGTAGATTTCAAGGAGCAAGCAGATCTCAACTGTGTCTGAGTTGCAGGTTTCCAACACATCCCACCAAATCTAGATGGCCACGGATTTCTGAGGTGAGAATTTAGGAATCAGGTTCTGGTTATGTGATCTTAAGGAGAGTGAATTTAAAGTACTTGTGAAGGGCAGCCCACCAAGTTTAAAACACCATATTGAAGCAGTGCCTACCATACTCAAAGCACCCTTAATGGCACACAGTTCTCATTCGAAATGGCCTAAGCCGCTCACCACAAAGGCCAACTTCCCAAGGAAGCAGAAACACGAGAGCCAAGTTCCTCCCAAGTATTGGGGCAACTGGTTTCAGCAGTGTAAAAACTTAGTCCTGCCCAGCCGGTGTGGCTCAGTGGTTGAGCGTCGACCCATGCACCAAGAGGTCACTGGTTCAGTTCCCAGTCAAGCCCACAACCTAGCCTCACTGCCAGGTTGTGGGCCAAATCCCCAGTTGGGGGCATGCAGGAGGCAGCCAATCAATGTGCTCTCTCATCGATGTTTCTCTCTCTCTCCCTCTCCCTTTTTCTGTCTCTAAAATGAATATAGAAAAAAACAGATAAAAAATAAAAAAGTTAGTCCTGGACTAGATCAACCAAAATTTGCGTGAAAGTAAAGGGGGTCTTCAGCTATTAGAAAGCTATACCATCTCTGAGGAAAAGGAAAACTCTGAATCCTATTTAAATAGAAAACTGTCAGGAAAGTCAGAGTAGAGACATGCAGGATACATCACTGGCAGTAGGGCAAATTCAAGGAGTAGGGCACCTTTGAATGACCTGGTTTCCTCTCTCCAGAACTGCTAAGTGTACTGGGCATTTTGTAGAACATCTGGCCAAACAGAATGTGCCTGAAGAGCTCCCCATTCAGAATTCAAATCAGCCAACGTACATCCAGGAAGATAATCATCCACCATCACTCTCCTGGCTGCCCCTGAGAAATCTAAATTTGCAGGCCAAGTTCCACAGAACTTCCACCTAGAAGTAAAAGTACAGTAGAAACAGGTAGTGGTCTTAGATGGTAATTCTACCAAGAACACAGTCACCCTAGCATAGAAATGAGCACCTTATTTTTCCTATTTTAGGATAACCCTCAAGGGTAAGAAAAAGGACTTAATAAACCTCCATGGCAAATGCATATCTATCTTCTGAGAGTCTCCAGCTAACTCAGGGATTCACCTTTTAGCAGAAACCTGGACCATAAGAACCAGATGTTTTAAATGTCCACCTGTTAGAGGGACATCTTCCAGAAATACTCCCATTTGTCTTATTCATATAGACTCCTAGGCACCTATGAAACAGCTAGGGTGAGATTTTATGCTTGGTGACTATGCTTTGATTGTCATGGGGCAGAGCATTCTCTACAGAAATGCCCACCCATCAAGTGCTCTGCTCTCACCCCTGGAAATCCAACAGGCCTTTCTCAGAGCCCTGTTCTTCTGCCTGGTAACCCCATACAAAAGTAACTGTTTCATTTCTCATTGAAGCAGAGGAGGAGAAATATCGGGAAATTCTTCCATGTAAAATTTCCACCAAGAAAGAGGACCAGTTATTTCCTTGGCTAGGTGACAATAGACAGCATTCTTCAAGCTACCTCAGCTTATCCAAAGGAGACACAACTCCATCAGTTAGCTACCCTCCTCTTATGATAAAAGGCAGTACTGAAAAAAAAACAAAAAAAAACTGCATAGCAAAAAGCACCACCACCAAGAGAAAAAAAAAGCAGATCAGCCTACTTCTAATCTCCATTATTTTATTTAGCTGACAACCATTTACATTTTTGTCTAATTCATTAGACTGAACTATATTAGGACAAGGACAGTCTCATTTCTTTTATGTATTCCCTGTAACTAGCAGAGTTTGGCACATAATAAATATTCAAGGTTTCGCTACAGGATAGAACTGGGAAGCAGGAAGTATGACAGTCTGAGCACACTGTGGAGATGTAATCAAATAGTGACAGTGGAGGGTCAATCTAGAGGAGGCTACCAGGTTCACTTCTAACCCTAACCTGGTTCCATAAACTGGCCACCTGCAGGTTATCGAAGAGCGCTTTGGGCCCAATGTAGTGGCAGTACCTTTCCTGTCGGATGCAGCCTGCTATGACCTACTGGGTGTGCTGGTGAAGCAGTCCCGCCCAGGCCACACCCGCCTGACTTTGACAGGTCGGCAGGGACGGCGAGCACTACAACCAGTGGGACCACTACCGAACCTCCTGGAGCAGGCAGGGTCTGAGGGTGCCTTTGCCCACTGCACTCGGGAATACTCACCAAAAAGCGGAGCAGAGATAGCCTATGAAGAAATGCGACTCCTGGATGGGCAGCCCTGCCGGATCCGCCTACATTTGGGTGGCCTGCGCAAGAAGGTGGCATTCTTGTTGCTGCCACCAGGGCAGGTGAGCCTACAGAAGACTCTTCCCTGGCTCCGAAGCACCCACAGCATCTATGTCATCTACCAGGTGTTCTCCTGTTCCTGGATGCAGCTGGGGCTATTGCCTACAGGCCATGAGCCCCAGATGCTCCGGTTACAACGGTCACTGCCTATTGCCTTTTCATGCCTCAAGTTTTCACTGCAGCCCAAGGGAGTGCTAGGACCACAAAAGGCCCTGACCAAAGACCCACAGCTGCATGGGACCAACTGGGTCAGACCTAACCTCAACATCATGACACCTCTGGCGTCCCCATCAGCCCTTGATGATATCCCTGAAGCTGCTGATGTGCCCCCACCTGTCCCAGCCCCATCTACACCACCTCCCCAGGAAGGGCCAGAGTGCAGACTCACCAGAGTCTCCTACAAGGGTCGAAACCCATTCCGAAAGGGGCCCCAGATGCTGTCAGGTACTACTGGAGAAAATAAAGACAAAAGAGACGGGACAAGGTGGAGGGGGAGGGCATAGGGAGTAGAGCTCAGGAATGTATGGGACACCTAAAACCCTGGTGAGGGGGTGGAGTAAGGGGAACTAGGGGACACTGAGGTGGAAGCATGGTCTTGATGTGGGGGTGGGAACAGCACAGAGAAACAGAGGGAGGGGCCAGGGAGGCAACAAGACCAGGACATTGAGTCAAGCTGTGACTATCCCCAACCCTGGCAGAGAACTGGCTCTTCAGCCCCCGCAGCCCCCCACCAGGAGCCCAGGGTGGGGGCCCCGGGGACCCCGACCGGCACTCCATGTCCCTGCCCCTGCTGCAGGGTCTGTCCTCAGAGTTCGACAGCGACGACTGAAGTTGCGCAAAGAGATGCAAGGGACAAGGGGCAAGGTCCCCAATATCTGGTATAGGGATACTGGCCCCCAATAAACATCAGCTGCTGCTCCCCTAAACCATCCTGGACCCCTGCTCACTCTTTCTTTTTGGGTCTGGAGAAAGGGGAGAGTCCCTACATTTTCCCTAGGCTTCACATCCCCTCACCCTCTAAGGGAACAAGGCACGCCTTGAAACCTTGGCATCAATGTTCTCCCCATAAAGAAAATATCCCTGACCACCTCCCCATCTATGCACAACCTTTTTGAGGCCCAGCCCCATAGAAAAATGGTGAGAAAAAAGAATGAGCACAGAATAGAGATTTCCCTTTTATACATATTGCAACAAGTTCTCCATAAAACATTCATTTGAAATAAATTAAAAAGTCCTCTTACCATTCCCTCCAAACATAAAAAGGAGCCTGTACCCTGGCCCCAACCCAGGCCACTCAAGGCCATGATTGTCCGTGGAATAAAGTTAAGAACTGAGAGGCCCGAAGACTGAGAGAAGAGGGATATTTCCCTCCTCCGAAGTATCCAACAAGAAAGGCGAGGTGACAGCGTGGGCCTGGGAGATGGCAGCCAACTCCTTGAGAAACTCGGGGAAAATGACTGCACAGTAGACAGCATTCTTGACTCGTAGAGCCTCACCTTGGCGCTCAGCGGCCCCACCCCGGGGAGGTAGAACTGGAGTTGAAGCCCCAGGGGAGCCCCCACCTAGGCCAAGTCCTGTGCTGTCTCTCCCAGGCTGATGAACCAACTGTACCGCCTGCCGGGCCCTGGTTGGACTGTGTGCATGTCTCAGGAGCAACTCCCCCAAGGATGGCCTCCGGCTCTTCACTGCAAATAAACAGGGATATCGTGAGGTGCAGAGGTCAGGCCTTGGTCTAAGATATGAAATTTCCCCACCCACCCCTATGTGCATGGACTTCTCTAACAAATGCTGCTTGCCCAGCCTTCTTCCCTCTATCCAGCCTCCCCACCCAGCAAACATCATCCTCAGTCTTCCCAGTCAGTCAACACTTCAACCACTTCATTCCCAGCCGAGATCCCTTCCTCTTCCATCACCCTTCACCAAGGAATTCTCTTACCTCTCCTCTTTCCAAACACTATCCTACCATCATCAACTACTGTACTTCTAAGTCCATAACATGTCTTTACTTCATGCTTCCTATCACCCTCCAAAATTAGTCAACCACTTCCACCTTTCCCTTGCCTGTATCACCTGACACACATCCCCTGCTCCTTCAATACCCACAGAAGCTACCTATGCAATCATATAGTTCAGAAACTTTATCATTTCTGTCATACTCCACCATCTGCACAAGATCTGCTGTCCTGTGTCACTTCACCTTCTACCAGTCCCTCTCCTATATACGCCAAAGCCACCTTCCCACCGGCTGTGGCCAGACAACTTCACGTCAGCTTAGTCTCAAATGAGCCAGTTAAAATATTGACCTCTCTCCTCCAATTCTCTGTCTAGATTCCTGGCTCTGGATCTACATCCACATCTAGGGCCTAATTATAGGGATCTAGTCTCTAGATCATGATGTGGTCCCCATTCTCTACCTCCAATATTGGCTACAGAATGATGCTACACAGATCTATTAAATTTGGCATTCAGAACCCTTCATTTCACAACCAGGCTCACACTACTCCAACCTCTTCTCAAAACTCTCTAGAACCCACCCTGCTTTTGCATCCACACCTATCTGCTCTTTTTGGGACCCTCCAAGCTCTTGCCATGCTTCTGTAGCCCCTCTGCCTTAATTTTATTCTCTCTACTGTTTTCATTCTTGGGTTAATTTCACTATCCCCATCTCTTTGAAAAATCTCTGATTTTCCCTCCACTGATTTCCCATTTTACTGCCCTAATCATATTGTATTAATAACTTGTTTACATGTCATCAACCTCATACACTAATATGCAAGCTTAAGGGCTTGGACTCTGTCTCATTTACCTTTGTATCCCTGGGCCCTTCACAGAGAACATACTACCAGTAATGTGGAAGGAAGAAATATTCACAGTACTAGACCACCAGTGTATCATACTAAGGAACTTCACTGGGTCTTTGCAGCTGTATAATAACCCTTCTGGTACTTTCTTACCGCCTACCCCCCATGCACTTTTCTCCTTAAGCCCCATCTTATATCTGCTCTCTTGCTCTTGGCATATAATTTTGCCTCCTACTTTGATTAACAAAGGATGACTTCAATTCCCTAACTTTCCCTTCCACACCTCACAACTCCTTTGGTACAGGTCATTTCCTCCTTTGATCTCTCTTCATTTGTCTCAAAGGAGGAAAAAACCTTTTCGTATCCAGAGTTAATCCTTTTATGCTGCTCTGGATCACACCACCTTTGGGACCTTGCTCCCTTGGTTAAGCGATTCCTCTAGTCTCTAGACTGTCAACTCTTTGACGGCAGAGATCTCATCTTGTACCTCCCTTGAGTCCCCTGCACCAAAGACAATACATAGCACATACGGCAAGTTCTCACATATTTGTTGACAAAAAAAATCAAGATTTAAAATTTCATGGTCATATTTAACTTGTCTTTCTTCCTTGTACTCCACAACCACTCCTCAAATTCTGCCAGTACTTCCATCCCATTTTCACCTTATCAAATTCTTCCTTTCTATTTCCACTATTCTAATTCAAGCCTTAAAGGTCACATCCTAAATACACTTTTTCCTAGCTCCAATTCACCTAGTACATCAGCTAATATATACTTACCTCTCCACTCCCAGATCTAAGAACCTCCAATGGTTTCTCATTGCCTAAAACATCACAACTTCTACCCAGCCCAATTTCTACTCTGAGAACCTTCTGCTCTGGTCAAATCTTTCCAGCCTTACTACCAACTATTCTACCACCTTCCAAATCCCCTGCTCCAACTAAATAGTTCACACTGTTCCCTAAACAAAGGAATAAGGCCATCCTACTCCTTTGCCTACCCAGATCCTAGCCATCTCTCAAGGTCCATGTCAAATGTCATATCCTCTACCAAGTTGTAACATTATCTAACCTAGATACTACTCTGTCCCCTTGCCTGTCCCCACCTACTAGAGCAGTTCTTGCTAGTACTGCTGACTTGACCCTCAGTGGACACAAGTACATTATCCTCTGACCAGAAGCCTGAGAACAAACACCAAGACTGCAAGTTCCGAGTTCCTAGCACGAGGTTTCACTCTTAATAACTGTTTAATTGACCTAGGTTAAATAGCTATGTAGGGAGGGTTGAGAAGAGGGGTGGTGGAGTAGGCCTTACCTAGAGGATCAGAGCGGCGAGGAGCAGGTCCTGCTGCAGGGGCCTCAGCCCAGTCCAACTTGCCACGAGCAATGAGGTACTTCTTGGCTTTGGAGAGCAATGCTGGGAAGTCCTCTTGTGAGGCTGCAAAGCTCTCAATCTTATTCTTCACGGAGCCCAACACCTACGAAGCACAACTTCATGACATTTCTGGGTAGCTCTAGACTGACACAGTCTTTTCTAGTCACACTGGACCTGTTCCCAGCCCCCCAGGGCCACTCCAGCTGCGGGCCTGGCCCACCATGGAGCCTGGACGCACCCATGCATGCATGCATCGCACACCTGCAGCAGGGACTTGACACTGGGCTGGAAGACCATGTTGGTGTTGAGCAGGAAAGAGCGGAGCAGGGGCTGGGGGTGACAGGCCAGCTGAGCCACCAGCCCCGTCAGCAGGAAGTTGACATAGACGGAGTTCTGCAGCATGTTCTCGAGTTTGGCAAAGAGCACAGCCATGAAGGGGCCTGGGGGAGGTGGGCACAAGGATACAAGGCCTGAACACAATGCTCATAACACTCATTCCTCCCAAAAATAAGAGACCCCGCCACTAGATGATCATTATTTGTATGTCGGTCTCTAGGCATGTTTAAATATCTTGTGACCACCTATTCTTGTATCCTGTGACCACCTAACCTGGAGAAGATAAAATGGCAGGTACCACATGGACCCACAAGAGTCCAGATACTAGCTTTACATACACTTGAGCTGAAGAGCCAGATCATAGACTCTGTAGTCAGACAGACCTGGTTTCACATTTCAGCTTTATCCTTTACTAGTTATTAGATGATTCAAAACTCTCTAAGAAAATATACCCACCTCATAAGGTTATTAAGAGGATGAAAGAGAGACTAACATAAAGCATTTATTCCAAAATCTAGCAAACTATAAGTATTCAATAATAACTATAAGCTACATAGAATTTCACAGTTGTTTTTAAAAGCTTCATCCAAGAGGTACAACAGAAGAAAGAATGAGAAAGTGATTAGGACTAAAATAAATCAGGTCACATACAAAACAGAAGATAACATTAGTCTTGGGTTAAAGAGAAAGAAAGAAGAAAATGTAGCAAAGGCAAAGAAGGTGACTATATGGGCCAACTTAAAAGTCGGGGGAGAAATCTCTGAAGGGCCAAAGTAGAAATCAGCTCTGTTCAAAAGATGGGAATCAAGAGGGTGGAAAAGAATCTGCAGGAAAAAAGAGCTTGAGTTGAGAACCAGAGAAAACCAATTTAGGGTAGACTCTTTGGTGGGGGAGAGGATAACAGAAGGGACTAGAATAGTCCCCTGGGAGAACTGGCCTCAATGAGCCCCAGCCCCAGCACTAGCACTCCATACCATCACAATGTGTCTGACCAGGGATCTATGGGGGAAAGGAAGTGTACCTAAGGACTGCACTATGAATTGAGACAAGAGAAAATTGAAAGGCAAGAGGCACTGAATTCTGGAAAAGATTCTAGAATATCCTCTACTCCAGATGCATATAACTAGCCTTAGCTCCAAAACAATTCTAGCTTAACAGGGTAATAAGATACCCCATAACTTTGTCCTTCTGTTCCTCTAATTTCCTGGCACTTCCTTTTTTTTCCTTAAAAATATGTTTTAATTGATTTTTTTAGAGATAGAGGGAGAGAGAGAAACATCAATCAGCTGCCTCTTGCACGCCCCATACTGGGGATCGAGTCTGCAATCCGAGCATGTGCCCTGACCAGGAATGGAGCCGTGACCTTTCAGTCCATGAGACGACGCTCAATCACTGAGCCACACCAGCCAGG